CCCTACTCGTGTGCGACTAAAAGATTTCAAATTAAATTCTTCTTGTGGGTCTTTTTCGTGTACCAATAACTTTCTATTTGTCGAGTTACTGAAGCCGACAGCTACCACTGACATGCCACATAGTTGTACAATTAAATTCCTGAACTTCGTGGGCCATTATGTCACCAATTCTAGCTACTGTGATTCCTTGCGATCCTGCCAGAGTACGAAACAGTGAAGAAATGTATGACCGTATCGGGCCTGCCTGATGCGTTCCAGTCTGGGTTAAAATCAGCGTTCACATACGTCTGGGTTGCATTTATATAAATACCAGTAAGTTTGCTGCAAGCACTGCTTTCATGCCCAAATGGAAAGATTTGTCTTCATCAGTGGGAAATCCTGTTCATTCATTCACTCCCTTTGGCGACAAAACGACAATAGCATAAATGTCTCCAACTACTTTCTGCGCAATCCTCAAAAATTCTATTTGCTTCTATGGCCTGTTCTTACGCTATAAATGGTAATATATGGAATTTCGTAAGAGCGATTAGAACAAGCCTGTTGAATGCTGTCTTCTGTCCAGTTAACAAGCGAAGACCATTTGGACACAGATCGGAGCACTTGCACATCAGCTACATCGCTGTATGTTTCAAGCACACGAGGCACTTTGATTGTGTCGTAGCATTTCGGCAATAAAAATGGGTAATCTTTTAATTCCTTGGACTTCTCCGTCTGAAAAATACCCAAACCAGAGCAGAACTTTTGCGGCACATCCCTCTCTCACAGTCCCGCCCAATATTCTTTTAAGAAATTTCAAATAAATGGGAATTCAGATTTTTAATGTAAAAAAAAAACATACTTTAGTGGCATTCCACCTCTGGATGAAGTGCCGAGCGAGATCGCGTGCAGCACTACCATATGTGCAAGCATGGATATCGTGCCAGGGCATCCGAGGAGTGAGATTTCTGTCTATGAAATCTGAAAATGGCGACCGGTAAAATATCGAGTTTAATTTTCGAAGAAAACCGTAAATTTAAAGGGCCCTTAATTATTCCGGATCATAATATTGCCAAAAATTTGAGCACGTTTTTGTTCAATAAAAAAAGTTTGCGCGTTTGCACAGTAAAACGAGCCAAAACGATTTTTGACGTCGAAATTGAAAAAGACAGAACAGGATACGTCAGGAAAAGATAGAAGGGGATATGCCCTTAGTCATAAATTTTGACTTTTAAAAAAATCCTTTAAACTTATCAAAATGAATTCACAGCTTGTGTTTTTTTTGGCACTTGTCTCATAGCATGTAGATTCATAGTATGTATCTCTTATATACCATGGAAAGGCATGTCGAGCTCCACAAAATCTTTGTGTATGAAATTTACATAATCCTTTCCAACCCACAGCTTCCCAGCGCCTTCAATCTGTTCTTCCATGACCCGAATTTTTTCATCCTGGTCTCGCAACTCCATATACCTACAAAAACAGTCTCCAGTTATATTCCTTTTCACTTGCCCGACACCCACTGCAGAACTATCAGCAGGTTTAAACCGATAAAGTAAATTTTTTTTTCTAACTTCTTGAACGACCGCAGAATAAAAAACAGCATTTGGAGAGCATCATTCCAAGTACTGGAAAATTTGGAATGCTACTAAATTGCTAATGAGAATAATAAAATTAAGCAGTTTTA